AAAAGAATTTGCCAGTTCCTTAGATAGTGTGTCACTAGGCTAGGGTGTAACTCATTATTTTAAATAGCCATCTTTATATTATAATTTAACACCACATATAAAGGATTAACATTTAATGTTAATCTAAGATTTAGATTTGGGTGTTTTAAAATGTATCAAATATTTTTGGTTATGTGGATTAAATAAAATTCATTTAAATGGAAGGATAGGTTGGACTATATTTCAAAAAGCTTAATCCCATTCTAACTCCCATCTCTATGCTTAGCTTATTTCTAATCACTCAATTCTACTACAACTATTTTGAATTGCTTGTATTGTGTGAATGAATGCAATTTTAATGATGGACATTGCATTCCCTAAAGTGTATTATCAGCCTTCTGAATAAAAGTAAGTATTTAAAATTATTACTCATTTATATCCATACTTTTCTGATTTATATTCTAAACCAATTGCAGGTGTAACTCATTTACCGTTCTGATTTGTATTCTAAAAAAATGCAAAAAGTAATGTTAATAAAAATTTGAGCTTCCAGATAGAAATTATCTTAAGTAAGTCCATGTTTACGTCATGGCACTTATAATCACTTCAACTCAATTAATGCCCCTAGAAATCCTTTTGTGACACTTTAAATATTAATAGTTATTTTTAACTATTAAATAATAAATTATTTGGATGAAGTCCTAATATGTAAATTGCTAGCCAAGCTATACATTATGCATAGTTAGAAATCCTAATGAATTATCACATTTTGCTCATGTATTGATCAAGTGCAAGAAAAGTATAGAAGTTTAATTGATACTTTTAAAATATGAATTAAATGTCGTAAGTCGTACTTAATTGAAATGATAATGATTGATTTTCTAAGTATATTGCAAAGTAAACATTTAACTTGCGGCTTTTTTGTATAAAAATGTTAAGCATTTTGCCATTAAAAATTCTATATTGGATAAAATTATCATATACTGTATGAATAAGGTTACTGCAGAATATCTACTAACAAACAAGGGATTTGAATTGCACATTGAAGGCTAAGTATGTGCTTTAGATATATAAGAAATATACAAACCATGATTCATTGCATTTCAATTAATATGGCGTGGCAGGAAAAATTAATTTAGAAACTAAGTTATTCAATATCATTAAGCATAAATATAAGCTGAATTGGAAAATCAAGAAAATATTCTATATATCTATGAGGAATACATTGATGCACATGAATCAACTTTGGTAATCTTATCCATTAATTGAAGAATACACATGACGAGGACATTAAAAATAACATCTTGCTCATTAAAACGATTAGAACTTCAAAACTGACTTCATGAATGATTTCGAAGCAAGTTCAAGATATACTTTGACTTCCAGTTTTCATTTTTTAATTTATCCAGTTTATGAATATTATTTTTATTAGAATTAACAATAATATTTATTATATCATCCATTTACATTAAAATTTTTCAGATCCTGATTTTCATCTTTATGAGTTAATATGATCTGCTACAATCTATGTTTAATAATCATATTTGTCTCCTTATTATTGGTTATTTAATGTAAAAAATCTAATAATCACCCTTAGTGCTATAAAAAAAATGATAATAAAATTAGTTAGATTTAATTTAAATATTTGTTATACTTTTTATTAAAATAGGTAGTTTTCTATTTAAATATAAAATAACTAAAAAAGACCATTAGGAGATGATCAAGTGAACTTTCATAACATATTTGGAGTTTTTTTAAGATAAATCAAAAACCTTAAAAAGGTAATTTAATTGTTAATACCTCTATTTATTAACCCAAAGTGTTTTAGTAGATATGATTTAAGCAACTATTTTATATTGAGAATATTAGCTATTAATTTAACATCGATTATTGGGCTATAGATGGATTTTTTTATTCATTTGTTAAGGCGGATCAAATTAATTAATCTAAAATTAATAAATAAGTTTTCATTTGTGGTACTAAGTCTAATGAATTTAAGTAACATTCAAAACTATACTAAATTAAGAAAATTGTTATAATTGCTTCAATCATAATTAGAATATCTACATGAGGACTTAAAAGTTTAATTTATTAAATTTAATAATAAATGAATTTTAATGATTAAATCAGATATTTATATATTCAAATTTAAGAATTGTCATCTCAGTTTATATGTAATTTTAAAGTACTTGAACTAATTCAATACTCCCAGTAGTGATAATTATCTTAAATTTTTATTATCCATAGATAGGGGATGTAAATGCTAGGTAGAAAGTTATGAAATTGAAGATTTTTTGATCTTTATATTTCAAAACTTTGATTTATGATGGATTGCAGTTATCCTATTAATGAATTGAAGATTGAATTAATTTTCCTTAAAAGCTTTTCATAGCTACTTCTATTTACATATAGGATAGCTTTTAATTAAAAATTAATTCGTATTATCCTTGATTAATATATTGGAGATTTAGATCATTAAAAAAAATTTTCTTTTCTGGTAAGTCATTGATAACTGAGATCAATTTCATTTTAGTTTTTATAAAAGCGCAACTAAAGTAAGTATTTTAATAAGAAAACCAAAGCTAAGAATGATAACTTCCAGTATATTATCCAAACCCTAAAATTTGATAAATTTTTTTTATACATTTTCCAAATTAGTAAGAAATAATATCAGCAGTATTATTATATGTTAGGTTTAGTCTTAAGCTATCATAGTTTTGAAAATTAACACCTTAAAGGTTAAAAATAAACCATTAACTGCATATTTACTAAATTGGTTAACTTATAAAATTCTGAGGAGCATATTATAATCCTAGATTGATTATCTCATATTCTGTTATGACAACTTAATAACCTATTTTTAGTAAATTAGGGAATTTTCCAGCTACTTGGTTAATCTCAACCGAAATAGATGAGCTTGTCAGCTCACTTACCTGAGAATGTTATTATATAAATGACTTACTTAAAGTAGAAATTCAATTTATCCATTGTATAAGAAACCTGTTAAACTCACAAATCCATATTTCGGATTACTCATTGAATGTGGAAAAGTATTGTTGACAATGCCTCCGGAACTGATATAATTTATTACTTGGAGACCTCCTCCAAAAATAGCATACCATTTAAATCTTATAGAAAATACTCTTTAATTTAGACATGAAATTGTAATATTAAAATCTAATTAATCTAAATACTTACATGTAAGCTGAACATCTGTAATCTCTAAAATAAAGCCTGAGTTATTAAAAATTGTATCAATTTTTTCAAGGGAAATGATTACTTTAGGAATTTCAGGAAATGAATCTGAGAAGACGATTTAACTTGTATGTTAGGTTCCTATACAAGAAAAAATAGGATAATTATCAAACCCTTTAAAAACGTTAGTATCGTACACTATTATGCTAGAGACTAAATTCACCATAATTGGGATGATTTTTATTTAGAAATACATTTAAATGTAAAATTATTAATAGTATTAATAAATAGACTATGAAATTTCTACGAACTCAAATTAAAAAAAACCTAGTTAGCGTCCTAATAACAAATAGACTAAGTATTTGAATATAGAGAAGCATCATAACAAAGAAAGTTAAAAATAAAATGAGTGAATTAATTGATATTTCCTCTTTGTCTTCAATTTCTTGTTTTAATTTAGTAAATTCATAGCCTTGATTGACTTTTGATTGTTTATAAATTTTAGACTTTTTGAGTCAAAATACAATAGAATACAAGACATATCAATAATTTTGGAAGGAGGATTTGTTTAAAGTAAGATATTTCAAGTTGTATCTATTCGAATTAATCCTAACAATTAAAGTCAGAAAAATAGAACTTCTCCATATTTTAATCAATGTTCATAAGTTTTTAAGCAAGAATGGTAATCCTTGTTCAATTCGATTTAATTAAGATCTATTGAATCTTAATATTTGAGTGCCATTTGATAGTTTCAATATTGTTGCTTCAGGTTCTATAATGATTTTTCATCATCAAAATCAATATAAATTCAATATCGTGTAATTTTAGAGATTGATTCTTCAAGAAGAGAGAATGAGATTCTTCAACAACCAGAAATTTGGAAAAATATGTGATGATTTATTAATAATTTTCATCAGGCAATAAAATGTATGGATCTCTGCTATCGACATATGTAGCTTTTTCATTTAGATTAACAATTGGTTGATTTTGTATTTTAGTTTGAGATCTAGATAATATTTAGAGGAGGAATTTGATTTGTAATTTATTTGATATTTGAATGGATTTTGAATTCGTTTGAAATGAATTCTTTATCATAACCAAAACAGACATGAAAAATAATGGAAAGAAATGGATTCTACGGAACTTTTTAAACTACATCCTCTCTATTAGCCCAACCTAATATTTCCTCTTAATCCATGGAAGCTTATGACATCTGTTCTGTTTGTTCTTCTTACAACACGTTGTTGAAGATGACATCACTATGCATCAAATTACCATCTCCAATGACACAATTTGGAGTGCATGAGGAACATTCGATCTCATCTCCAAATGGAGAGGAATTGCATTTGACTTCCTCTCCTTTAAGTTTCATAAAGAACAGTTAAGAATTCAAATCAAGTGTTAAGGACCCTTATTGATAGGCCAACTCAAAAGCGAAGGTTTTTGGTTTTTATGTGATGGGATAATATGTGATGCGAAAACACTTGTAATTAAGAATATTATCATAATAATAATTCATAATGCAATTGAAGCAGTTGCCAATGTTGTAGTGACCAGGCCAATCTTGAATATGAAATTAAGTATTTTCTGGTGGACTTGGTCAGAGGTCACATTCTTTTTATGATGTTCCCAATTCTTTAATTACAAATCTATAATCTCAACCATAATTTTTGGTACCCATGCCAATAGAATACACACAGTATATCTATGTGGCAATCGAGGGATTTTTATGGATTTCATGATGGTCTTAATGTCTTTATAATTTAAAGAGGAGATAATTCGATAATCTGTGTGAAGCATTCCAACTGTTCGAATGTCTACATTCTCTTATTTCCAGGTTGTATTTCTTTTAGGCTCAAGCCATAATGCTTCATATAATTAATGTTTTCCAAGTACCTACGCTGTTGATTACAGTGCCTAAGAAGTAGACACATCCGAAGAATCCAAAGTAATAATAAATAATACATGTAATAATAAAATAAGAAATTGTATACCTACGCTATTATTACTTATTACCATATCATTCTATTTTAGACTCTAATAACTGATCCATATTTTTAAGCATACGATCTGCTTCGAAATTCCAAGCAGACACATATGAACCAATTATGGTCTATGGCAAGAAGTTCCATATCTTTTATCCTTTCAATGAAGTTGCTGGATCTTTGGGATTAGCAACATTTCTGTGATGACCATGGACATGCTCAATTGCAAAGTGGATGTATAAGTTTCTTGCCAATGTAACAGTTCCCAATAGCTTGTCGAGCTAATTATCTTTATGAATAAATTCATGAGCAATGTTGATATTGGATGCAGCCAAATTGCCACACAAAAAGATAAATCTCATCTCTGATTGTAGTTTACTAATAATAATCTAATATGAAATTTACTTCTATTTTTCTTTGCTCGGATTCCGAATATCTAATGAAAAGAATTCATCTAAAAATGGAATTAGAGTGCATACTATCCAAATGGCTATCCAAGCATTTCGAAGTAGGAAATCAATATAATGGCCATTGTATAAAAAAATGAACCGTATAGTATAATAACTACTGAATAGAAGGAAGTCATCATTGCCATTCGATTACTCATTTTCAACGAGAAATCAACTTCGAAGTCACCCAAGGGTGATTTCTAACATGGCTAATATAATGGTTTGGTCTTAATCAACAATCCGACAATAGATAGCTCTTATTATTTAAATGGCAATCTGATTGAGATCGAGCAGATTACGACAAAAGGATTCACAGTATCCAACCAATTTCTCTATATCAACCTTGTGCGACAAAAACTAACCTGAGATGTCCAACTGCATATCCCTTTTGATTAGCATATTCAATCGGAACCCATTTATTAGAATTATTACTCGATAATCTCCGATTAAACACTCTCCAAGATCGTCTACTTAGAATGCTTCTTAGCTGTAATTATTATATCTTAAATTCACTTCATTGAGCAGCTCAAAATAATTGAAACAATAAAAGCAATCCTTTAGTTGGAACTTCAAGTAAATTTAGTCTGAGATAAATTCAAAAAACTTTCTGAATATCTCAGAAAAATATAAATGATGAAGAGAAGTTTGTACAATCATAACCTGGAATTAAAATTGAAAACAATTTCTATTTTCAACACCAAAATTAGTAAAAATGGAGAAGACAATCTCATAAAAGTTTTATAAGGGTTTTTTCTTGTAATCGATTTATTAAAATAATATCAGTGAAGTGCAATATATTTATGGGTAATAGTGAAATGGTAATAAATGATTTAATTATAAAGCCAAAATCTACTAGACCTATAAGAGGAACCTTAAAATTAAACAATTTAGGGTAGTTTAAATATCTAAATTGATTTGGAAATTCTGGTAAAATAAATAAGGAATTAAGAGATGTGCAACAACATGGAACGGTAAAATTGGATAAGATGTAGGTGGAATTTATAGCTTATGTTGGGTTAGCTGATTTTTATATCATTCTATGATAATTTTAATATAAGGATTTTAGAAAGAGAAATTATCGAATTATTTGGCTTTAGGTAGGATTCAATTTATGAAATCCTTATCTAGCGCCTACAAAATAGGAGATTATTATCATCTTTACATTCTCCTTTATAGCTATCTTGAACCATCCACTGATTGAATACTCGCCAACAGATGACCAAGTATAGATCTTTTGTACTTACGATTACAAAATTTCTTAATCTATATCAATCAAGTTACTGCTACTTCTTGATAAAATCCACCACCTCAATGACTCTCACTAATCACTCTGATTTTCACTATTTCTTTATTAATAATATGATTCTCTTCCACGAGAGATAGGTGTAGTTTAGATTGCTAATTTATTTACATTTGCCTTCAAATTTTCTTTTCTTCACTGCTTTTACAATAATAAATAGATAATCTTAGATATTGTTCAGATTATTTGATATCATTTATCATCATTTTTTTTATGCTTTGACCTGATAGTTTGCCTTCAATAATGTTTTTGGATTTCATAATAAAATACTATATTGAGTAAGTACATAAAAGCAATCTTTGTTTTAAATATATCTTTTTGATTTCATTTGTTTATTAATATATATATGATAATATATTCTGATTAATTCTGAAGTTTCTATTATATAACATTTTCTATTACTCATATTTTTTATTCAATATTAAAAAATGATTCCTGCAAACATAGATGACGTGGAACTTAATCAACAAAATATTTAAACTAAAATTCCAGAATAGTTAAATCCTAGCTTTGAAGTGGATTAGTCTCAAAAGTAATAATTGGAGATCTAAAATTTGGAGAATGTTGAAATGATGTACTAAAAAGGTTAACTATTCTTATCATTTTTAGCAAATACTTTAACTTAATTGAATGATATTGAAAATGCTAAATAAATATACAAAGATATAATTAAAATAAATCCAACACATGAACTATCAAATCAAAAAATAGGTATTTATTTTTGTAATAATTTAGGTGATATCTTAAGAAATTTAAAACTCTATCAAGAAGCAAAGGAATATTATCTTTAGTGCATCTCAATAAACTAAAATAATTCAGACGCTTAATTTGGAATAGGTATCATTTTAGTATATTTTAAGGTGAATGCTTAAAGGAGACGTACAAATATAATGAAGCTTTATAATATTATATCAAAGCTGTTGAAATAGACTAATCTAATTTAGAATATTAATTTTCCTATGGTAAATATTATTGTTTAAATTAATTAGGGGATTGCCTAAGATATTTACAAAGATATCATGAAGCAATAATTGCTTATGATAAATGTGTAATGTTGGACTCTAATCATGCTGACGCTTATGCAGGAAAAGGTTTGAAAAATAAAATAATTATATAAGGAATATGTCTATAACATATAGAAAGTTATGAGGAGGCGCTAAATAACATTAACTAATCATTAGCATTAAAAAATAATTCTTATTTAGGACTATATGGGCTTGGTAACCATTTAATTTAATTGTTAGGGTTTCATTTACGTGGAAAGGGGGATACTCAACAGGCATTAAAGCATTTAAATGAAGCGTTGGCTATAAATCCTTAACATTTGTAAACATTACATTGCATAGGTATATTGAGATCAATTTTTTAAAGGTCATTGCCTACTCAATATGGATTAATATGAATAGGCGATTGAATATTTTGACAAAGTTCTAGCCATTAATCCTGAATGTCAAAATTCTATATATAATAAAGGTATTTAAATAAATATTTCAAAGGTCTTTGCCTATAATAGATGAAGCACTATGAATAGGCAATAGAATGCTTTGAAAAATATTTGGCCTTTAACCCTTAAGATGATTATTCCTTAGATCACATAGGTATATCCAATATAATTTATTTAAAGGGTGGTGCCTAGTCGATATGAATCAATATAAATAGGCGATTGAATAATTTGACAAAGTTTTGGCGATTAATCCTGAATTTCAAAAATCTATATTGGGCAAAGGTATATTAAAATCAATTTTTAAAGGTGCATGCCTATTTACTATTGGTCAAAATGAATAGGCGATTTAATGCTATGATAATGCTTTGGCCAAAAATCCCTAAGATGTCAATATCTTAAAAATCAAAGGTATGTTTAATTTAATTATTATTAGGTCAAAGCCTAGTGAAAATTGGTCAATATGAAAAGGCGATTGAAAGTTTTGACAAATTGTTGGCCATCACACCTGAAAATGTTGGTATCTTAATTTAAAAAGGTATATTTTATTTAATTTAAATATTTTAAGGTCAATGCCTAACTGATTTGAATCAACATGAATAGGCACTTGAATGCTATGAAAAAGCCTTGACCATAAATCCGAAAAATACACAAGCTTTAGGTTGCAAAGGTAAACTCAAATCAATTGTTTAAGGTGGATGCCTATTTTTATTGGATGAATATGAAGAGGCAATCGACCACTATGAATAAGCTTTGGCCATTTAACCTGAAACGATAAACTTTTTAAAAGTCAAAGGTAAATTCAAATCAAACATATAAAGGGCTTTGTCTAGAGAGATTGGGTCTTTATAAAGAGGCGATTAAATGCTATGAAAATTCTTTAACTTTAGACCCTGTTAATTTTGAAATCTTGATACTGAAAGGTATACTGAAATTATATTTAAGGCATCTGCCTAATAAAGATGCAAAAATATAAAAAAGCACTTGAATGCTTTGACATAGTATTGGCTATCGATCCTGATTTTGAAAAATCTTTGATTAGCAAAGGTATATCTAATACAATTATTTCAAGGTGGTTGCCTAGCTTTGATGGGTCGTTTTGAAGAGGCAATTGAATGCTATGACAAAGCAATTGCTATTGATCCTTCAAATTTAAGTTCTTTAAATTGCAAAGGTTTAATTAAATCATTGATATAAAGGTGATTGCCTATTTGGAATGGGTAAATTTGAAGAGGTGATTGAATGTATGGACAAAGTTTTGGCCATCGATCCTAACAATATTAGTTCCCTAACTAAAAAAGGTTTGTTTAATTCAATTATCTAAAGCCAAATGCCTAGTTCAAAATCATCAATTTTAAGAGGCAATTGAATACTTTGAGAAAATCTTGACCATCAATCCACTAAATTATGATGCTTTAATTGCCAAATAGATGCTAAGTCTATTTAATTGAGATTTATGTATTGAAAATATTTTTTTCATAATCATCATAATCATTGAATAAAATTGATTTATATATTTTATATTAAATCTGTTATCTGGAAATATTCCGAGAAGCTCTTAATATAATACCATTTAAACCACCTTAAATTATTGTTCAATTACTCATTATTCTATTTTTTCATCATCTACCAATTTGTTCTAATTAAAAATATTGCAAATCTAAAATTAGAATCGGTGTACTTAAAAGATAGGGTTAATTGTTTTGTTACTAATTGATGAGAAACTGTTCACCATGATAATATAAAAAAATTAATAGTGAAGCGCCTAAAGAAACAATGTTCATTTATTACAATAATTGTTGAGAAACTAATTAGGGCTAACCTTTTGAACTAGCAAGTTTCAATGAATTCCTTAATTTTTCATTATTAAACCTTAAATAATATATGAGCATATGATTAATGGAAGGAGAAAAGATGATTAAAGATGAGAATAAGAAAATAATATAGATTGTCTTATTTATTGGCAGTGATCTATTTGAGCTACATCTCTAATTAGTTGACTCCAGTATGAATCAAATATTCCTCACATATATGCTAAAGGGTAAAGATGTCAAAAACTTTTGATAGTATAACCTCCTAATCTCAGTAAAATAAATGATTTTGATTTATCATTTAATTATTATGTTAATTTAAATAACTTTGAGATTTGCTTTTCATCCCGTTTAATAATTTGATAGATTTTGATCATATCAGGTTAGTCAATTTTAATTGCACATCTTCTTCAAAACTAGTTCCAGCAAAATTTGGGAATCTAAAGCAATTTTACTCCCGCCAACTTGAACACCCTATATATCAAAGTCATCACTAATCTCTCGCTCTTGTAACAAATTTGATGAAAAATTATTTATTATTATTGAAATTTTTTAAAGGTCATTCAATTTAATTTAATAAATAAATTTATTATGAAATTAATTTATCTCCAAACTACATTCATTCATAATTAACCCACTAGGAAGCCGAAAATCACTCTATGATTAAAAATCAATATTCTCCATCTATTTTAACAATATGCATTAATCTCCTGCACCATTGATTCAATGATGAAATTTTTGCTTCTCTCTCATTATTTTGAAAAGGAGATAAAAATAAATAAGTCCTCAAATTTATTATTCTACTTTGTTTTATCAATTCCTTCTTAATTATTTTGAATGGTCGTGATGCTTTTCAAGAGTAGTAGTTATCAACCAATGAATAATTGCTCCTAATAGCCAAATTGTTAGAGTCTTAGTGATTTCTAATCAATACAAAATTATGGAAAAATTCTAATCTTTAACCAAAATTAAACATTTCAATTAAGGTTAATTGTTTTATAAAAGCGATTCAAATATCAAACAAAAATTTATCGGATGAAATAAATTGTAAACCAAGAAAAACTAAAAAAAAGAAATCCAAAAAAAAGTGTCAAGAAAAGGAATAAGATATAATTCAGTGTCAAAGAGAGGCAGCCCCAACTTTTAGAAGTCAGCATCACCCTAATTTTAAAGTAATGAGGACTCTCTGACCGCTGGAAATCTAATTTGGATGCTTATCGAAAAGGGAAATATGGAGGACCCGATTTTAAAACATTATTCG